TATAATATTTTAGTAAATTAGAATTTAAAGCATACTTACTATCAGTTTGTGATTTGGTATAATAGTGGTCATTAAATTTATTATCAACTTGAGATTTGTTATAGTGGTCTTTAAATTTATTATCAGTTTGTGCTTTGGTATAATAATTATCTGATAGATGTGTTTTATCTACAGATCCTTGTATATTTACATTAATATCTGTTTTATCATGCCCATAAAATAAGCTCATTTATATTATTCCTCAGATTTTATATCCGGTTTATTATTTTTATGTTCATAAACATGTTTAATAGTTGTCACACTACCAGATAAAAATCCTAAAAAAGGTAAAAATGGTGATACTTTTTCTACTAAATTGTACACATCTCGTTTTAAAAGGTCGTCTGATTTAAGCTGTTTTGTTAATTCTTTGGGATCTTCAATAACATCAAACCCTTTTAATATATCTGAAAATTTTGATATAACTAAATCAGTTAAAAACTCATTAGCTTTTTGTAATCGTTTTTTCTCGTATTCAGTGTACAATTTATCAATAATTTTTTGACTAGCTTTTTTAATGTAAGCAACTGACTTGTCTAAATCACCATCTTCAGCTAGTTTAAGTAGTTGATCTCTTTTATTAAAACCCTCTTGCGCTTTATCTTGTATATTTTCATCACATACCGCGTCTTTGATAATATCATTTGTGGAATCAATCTCATTAATTATATCATTAATTGTTTCAGGCTCTTTACGCTTTGGCATATATATATAACACATGTTTTATTGCGGAATAACAATTTTCCATTGGTATGGGTATACAAGTTCGATTTCTAAATGTGCATACTTATTATTTTTCAATTTTTGGTTATTTCTTCTATATCATCTTTTCAACACCATAAAGATAATCATCAAATATGGTTTTCATATCATTGCGGTTTGTATTATAAAATGTAACTAAATAACTTATATTTTCACGATAAGGTTTAGAAATACTAGTCAATTGCTGTGTCACCACAATAGTAGAAAGCCCATAATGACGAGCACTGAACCCTAGTTTTATTAATTGCGATGTCCTATTTTTAACATCTAAGCAACTCGCACAGTCATCAAGAATAATAAGACTATTGGTCCTTTATATACATCACTAACATATTTTAAAACAATATCTACCTGATCTTGGTCACATTCTACTTTAATTAAATCAGAATCATTTATATATTTCCATTCTTGATAGGTTTTATTATATGATAGCGTTGGGCATAATAAAATAATATAATCAAAATGTCTATTAAAGTTTTTTCTAACATTTGAGAAGGTAATGACTCTTACCACAGTTCGTCATGCCTACAATAATCATATTAAAGGGTGTGTTCATTTATATATTACTGGTTATTCTAGTATTGAATACTTTGTAAATCATTATTAACAAATTGAACAAGAGCATCACTAATAACATAGATGTAACAGTTTAAATCTTTTGTATATGCTCTTTTTTTAATTTCAAGCAAAACGCCATTTTGAGTATTAATGATTTTTTTACCGTTACCAGCAATATTTTTTTCTTGAAAGGTGCGTAAATCGATAACTAATGCAAATTTATCCTTATAAAATTTTTCAATTGTCATGAAGCAATCTATCGGAATAGTTCTATCAAAAAATTTTCTTGCTTCTTCATAAAATTGTTTTTTATTCATACCTTGGTCGAAAATACAATTTGGCACACCCTCTATTGTCACGGAAATTTTATCGATTAATGGAAATTCAAATTTTTCACTATCACTAACTGAATTTTCTGTAAATAGTAGTACAATGCCTTTCATACTTTTACGAGGCACATTTACATTTATATTCTGTAATGTACTCGACTTATCCCATTTTTCCTTTTTTAAGAGGGTTATATGTTCATAAAATAGGCTTCTTCCTATAGAATATAAATTTGTCACCTCATTCGCAATTTCTTGGTTTTCAATAGTTTCATATTCAAGCTGAATATTTTCTAATTCATAATCACCGATAGTTTGGCCACTTTGTGCGATAAGGACTTGATCACTCGGTGGCAATGTTATTATGTATTGAAAGTTATTATTCATATTGAAAGGGCAATACAGACCATGGTCTTTAAGAATATTATCAATATTAATTTTTTGTCTTGTACCATAAATATCATACATTAATTTGTCTGCTACTTTTTCTGGACTTCCACTTGTTGCCCCACTATCATCCTTTGAAATGAGTTTTCGTAAATTCTGGTTACAAATACCATATTCAATAAGGCCTTGTCGATCACTTTTCGGCAACCACAAGTCTTTGTATACACTTATAATATTATGTTGACTACAATCGTAAAGGGTTTCCCCAGCCACTTTAATTTGTAGTCTATGTTGTAAAATCTGACTGAGATTATTTATAAAGTGACTTTTTGTATTACTGATTTTAAGATCAAACGATAGATTAAGTGAACCAGGCACTAAGCAACTATTTGCTTTCAATTTCGGAATATTAATATAAACTTGTTCATTCGGTTTAAGACTATTAGGATTGAAGGTTATACTATAAAAAGTACGGTTACCTTTAATTTTTGTCATAGAAATCTTTTTATAACCAGGTAAAAGCTCTTCTTGTAATAATCTATTCATATATATTAAAACATATTTTATTTTCTTCTTTGTTTATACTGATCATATATTAAAAAAGCAGTAGCAATAGCTAAAACCCATAGATTAGAAGCTAACCATGCTAAACCTTTAGCTCCCCAAGATATAGCCTGAGCGATAATATTCAATAATGGTCCTAACACTGGCCATAATTTTTTACCTAGATTTGCTAAAGCCTTAGAAAATTTACTAGTAGCTTGAGCACCTTGTAGGATTGCTTTTCTTGCACTAATAACAATGGTTGTAATTATCGAACCTATAGATATAGCTAAAGCTGATAATCCTGGAATATTTTCCTTAACCCATTCTTTAAATCGATTTAATCTAGTAATGTCTTCTTCTTGCTTATCTCGTACATCCTCTTTTTCTAATTGATTTTCTTCTTCTCTAATTATAATTTCTAATTCTTCGGCTCTTTCGTGCAAATTAGTTAATTCATCAATATTGTTGTCAATACCATTTTCATTTTCATTTTCTATTTCATCTATTCTAGCTTGAGTTTTGTTTAGCTCTTCAGCAAAGTGATTTATTTGTGCTTTTATGAATTGCAGGCGTGTTCTTTTATCGATTGTTCCAGAGGGGGTCATTACACCTATATGTTCTCTAAGTTCTTCACCAGTTATTTGATTGAAATTATCTGTATATTGATTATTTAAATCAACCATAGGCATACTCTCTTCAGTTTTTATAAATTCCTCTTGTAAATTAATAATTCTTTTAATTTCGTTTTTAAATTGTTTAACAGCTTCTTTAGCACTTTCTGATTTATTGTATTGTAATATACCATTACTATTACGTTTTAAAACAATTATACTATCACCTCGCTCATTTTTTTTATTTAATGGTTTGTATGTAATATTATTTGTTGAATCAGTTTTACCTAAATTTAATCTAAACATAATAGCTTCATCATATGCAATACCTTTTAGGTTATTAAATTTAAACTCTTTTCTATAATTTTTTGTAATAAAATCTTCAACAGAAAAATAAGTATTGTTTTCAGGTCTAATAATATTTTTATAAACAGGAGTGGAAGTAGGAACATTAGGAAGAGTATTAGTTTTATTTGTCTTTTTTCTTATTGTTACACCATAATTATCATCGGTAAATGATGTTTCATAATATTCATTATTTTCTTGCTTATTATCTTCATCATCAATAAATTGAAAATTTTGCCAATCTTCATTATCATCGTTATTATCTTCTTGCTTCTTATCTTCTAATTCAATATAATCAAAACCTCCTTCATCCATTATATAGACTACTCTATATTTTGTATTTCACTTTCAGAAATCCAGCTGTTATGTTTATTATCATAACCTAACCATTTAACTAAAACCATTTTTTTACCTTTAACCTTCTTACGTTTTAATATCTTTTCAATTCTATAAACATAATCTTTCTTATTCACAACTGATAGTTCCTCTTCATAAAATTTACCAATTATGGGCTCTCCTTCTAAATCTTCTATCTCATATAAATTAGGGTCTCCTCTAATAACTTTAGTCACTTTAAAAAGCTCTTCAGTAAAATTTGCTTCATAGCCTTTCGTAAATATAGATTTATACTTTGATATTCTAACCATATCACCAATTTTAATCTTAGGTAATGGTAAATAAGCAACTTCATGACCGTATAATGTATTCCATACTTCATCTTCATTCTTTTTATTAACATCTTTAGGCTTCATCAAAATTGTACTGTGTTTTGTATTGTTATAATTATATACTAAATCATCTAATATATCAATCCATTTATATGTTCCTTTACTGTAAAAATATTTCCACATAGATGTTTTAAGCGTTCTGTTGAATCGTTCGACAATTGCAGCCTTTTTATCATTTTTAGTAGAGAAGTACTTAATTCCATGTTTTTCTAATAATGATTTGACACCTACATTATAAAATTCTTTACCATCATCAAATTGAGCTAGTTTCGGGTAATCATTAAATCTATCTTTAAATTGACTTAATAGTTTTTCAACAGCTTTTGTCATATTATTTGTGTCTTTCCTATAAACAGGGATAGCAAATGCATATCTACTTAATATTTCAATAGCTGTTAATATCCAATAATAACCATTGTTTTTATACTTATAAGAACCCATATCAACTAAATCCATTTGTATTTGTTCACCAAGATAGTTTACCCTTGTTTGTCTGAATTTATGTCTCCTAATAATAGGTTTATATCTAGTGTATGTATCTTGAGATATTAACCATTCTTTAACTTGTTTTCTACTAACATCTATACCTTCTTCTAATGCTTTCTGATAAAGCCGTTCTGCTGATTGATACCCTGTTTTCGGATCATAATAAATATCTCTTAAACTTTGCTCAATTTTAATATCTTCATCCATTTAACTTACTCAAGATAACATTCAAGTAGAATACTACCTACATTCACAGGGTTGCCATCTTGATCTAATATATTAAATATTAGCTCGTTAAAGGCTCCTTTTATAATTGTAACTTTAGATTCAATATCATTATATTCGTATACAGTACCAAATAACGACTGAATTGTTATTACTGGTAAAGTTAAAGCTATATTACTTTTTTTCCCTTCAGGGTTATAATTATAACTTGAATTTACAATATTAGAAGAAATTTGCACACACTTTAATCCTCTGTTTATATCCACTTTAGAAACACCATTTTGTACGATACCTTTTTTCATAGTTTTTATGGTATCATTAAAACCTAACATTTTAATAAGAGTATCAGATAATACTAATACCTCATCATTATTATTAGTTATTTTACAAGTTCCGTTGTTTTCTACCATCTCAAGCTTTACGTTAACAGACTCAAGAAACGTTTTAAGCATTTTAAAAGTCCAGTAACCAGCATCTATATTATATTTTGTTGCGCCTATTGTAAAAGCTAAAGTATTATTTAATTTCACATTTTTATATTCCCAATACAAATAAGCCTTTTTGATATATAAATATGAATAGTTAGTTGTTACTATAGTTTCTTGTAAGTCAATTTTTTTACTATCTCCGTCTATAAAAACAGTGAACTTTTTCATATGTAACAGAGAATGATTATTTTATGAGTAATTTACCACCTATAACAGCTACGTGGTCAAGTGAAATTAAAAGTAAAAAAGAACAGACGACTGGTATAAGATACAATATTAAAAATCATTTAAATTATAAAAAAGAAGAGTACTACGCTATTATTTGTGGGGCTTATGTGGCTAGTTTTTTATGTGGAATCGGGCTTAATCATTTACATTTTGATAGAAGTATAATTATACAAAGTCTTGTTAAGTATCATTTATATTATACTATTCAAAAATTTATGAAGCATCCATCGTTATTAGACAAATATGACTTTACTGAATTGAAAAAGCATATACCTTATAAAGGTATTTTAAAATTCGATAAAAACAATGATGGGTATTATGTTAATTTTCAATATTCAACTACTGATTATAGGAGCTTCATTGCATATCATTCGGAAGGTATTACATCAGTCGGAAAAGTTCTTTTGCAAGAGAGCATTGAAAGCTTTGTTTATACAATATTAGGAAGTCAGGCTAGCACACATTGGGCAATATTTAATAAGGGAGCTAGGAGCATGCAAACTCAAAACGTTTTTAGAAAATTATTAAAAGATACTATAGTACAGAATGATACAACTATATTGATATCTAACATGAGAAAGAGTATAAAAGACACAAATGTTATTTTAAATATGGCAATCAGCCCTGGTATGATTTTAATACCCAGCCGTATGATCATATTGAATAAAAAGATTGATGGGTATAATAATATTTTAACATTAGCTAATAAAACTATGAAATTCGGTATTAATTCTAAAATAAATTTTTATGGAGTTAAAAAGGAAGAACCTAAAAAAGTACATCAAGATAATGCACCATCACAACACCTAGATACTATAGATGAAGTTCATAAAAAACCATTAGTACATAAACATACAAAAATGATAGTAAATAATCATCATCAAACAGATATGATTGCTTTACTCGGTATATCAACGATATCATCATTCGTATTAATTAAATACGTCTTATAATATAATATGAAAAAAGTTCTAGATTTTAATCATATTTCGAGTGAGTTGAGTCAAGATGAATTTCAAAAGCTGAAAAAGTTGTATTTGTACTACCACAAAATGTATACCTGTTATAAATGGAAGTATAATAAATTAAAGAAAATTAAACTATCATTAAACATGGGAAGTATTTTTCTAGTCTCGACTGCTGGTATTATAGGTAGTATAACTGTCAACCCGATAGTTATAGCCACCCTGAGTGGTTTAGGGGCTTTAATTCAAGGTTATATGGTTAAGAGTAAGATTAATAATAACTTAGAAATGTGTAAATTTGCATATACATCATATCAAAAAATACTTATGACTATGAGATCTTATTTAAGAGGATTAGCTTATAATGAAGTGATATTTCTATCAGACATAAAAGTTATCGATGATATTATAATTGACTTTTGTCCTCCTATAAATGGTATGGTGAGTAAATATAATAAAAAATATAAAGATCTGTGAGTTATCTGTAAGTTATCTATAAGATTATCTATGAGTTATCTATAAGTTATCTGTGAACAAAATCTACAGTATTATATATAACATGTCTGAAGAAAACCTAAAGATAACTACAGTTAAGAAAGAGAAAGACCCTATTAGAGTTGAAGCTGGGAAACGCTTAGCTGCTATATCGAAAGCTGCTAAAGAAAAAAAGATGCGAGATAGGATTGAATTAGAAAATAAAAAGAAAATTGAGGATAATAGCTGGAATATTAATTACGGATTCTTATTTGGAACTATTGGAGTATTAACTGCTATTGCTAGTCTCTATTATACAAGGAAAAATGATAAAAGGCAGGAAAAATTAACAAACGATAAAGCAAAAGAAGAAACAACTAGTGAAAATCATGTTTTGATACAAAAAATAAACAATATAATTTAGACTCATTTGAATAAAATATTTCCTATTATATATGAGTAATACTATAAATAAGAAACAGTTTATGAATGAAGCTTTTGATTCAGTTTTAATAACTGTAACTGCTGTAGGTCTTTCTATGGCGTCTAAAAAACTACTAGGTCAAAAATTAACAGACACAAACAGTATCAAAGATTTTGCTAAACTGGTTGTTGCTGTTACAGCATCAACAATGCTAGTTAAATATGCTCAAGACAAAAAATGGATTCCTGAAAATCCAGTTAAATCTGTATAAATATATATGACAAGTGTTATTACTACTGGATTATCAACATCTATAGTAGCAGTTGTTAATGGGTTAGGTTTTTCCTTAGCAGGCTGGCTATTTCATAAACTTGATAAAAACGGTTATGCTGAGGAAATAAAACGTCACAACAAGGCTCTAGAGGACTTATCTAAGGCTAAAGAGGCGTTCTATGAAAATGAAGTCAAGCAGCATGATAAAATTCAACAGTTAAGACAAGAACTTCAATATGCTGATGATGATATAGAACTTACAAACAAAGCTTTAGATGCGCTTAGAAAAGTAAAAACGATACATTACAACGGATTAACATTTCATAGAGAACCACAATTACATGACTTTTACAAAGAATCTAATACTATGAAAAATTATCAATCTGGTACAATGGTTGTGATTGGTATTATATCTGGATATTTATTATATAAAATTACTTAAAAATAAAATATATAGTATTAGTATATGTATTGTAATAAATTGATTCATAAAGAGTTAGAAGAGTTTTTTGGTTACATAAATTGTTGCTTTTGTGATAAAAAGATATGTGATAATTATATTAATAGTTCTGTTAAAACATACTTATGTTGCGAATTTCAATACATTATTTCAGATAACAATAAAATGGTGTGTATTCACTGCGGTTCTGTCCATTCATATAAGATTGTTAATGAATGGATACCAGAAATTTGGAAATGTCAAAGATCAGTTCATTCAAGGAAAAAATGGTTTTTTAATAAAATTAGATTGTGTGTAACTTTTGAATATGTTGAAAAATTGACAAATGATTTTATAAAGGTTGTCAGTACTATGATTAAACATAAATTAATTAATAAAAAAAATGTTAGTATGTATAATTATTATATTATACGCTTAGCTAGTAGGAGAGGTATACCATTAAAACACGCTGTTAGAGATATGAAAAATAGTAAGACAAGAAGAGTTTTTGATGATAGATTATTTGGTAAAGTATATAAAATCCTTGAGTGGGATAAAAATATCGACTGTACTTATTATAAAAATTGGATAGAGTCAAAGAAATAAAAAATTTACTATTATATATGAATCTTAAAGATCTATTAAAAAAGATTAGAAATTTTATTCTATGTTGTAAAAAAACTAGTTCTAATATAGAAGGTGTTTTGAAGGATTTTGAAAAAACATTGTATAAAACAAAAGATAATTTAAACGCACCTTAAAAAAAATAAAATATATAGTATTAGTATAGAATGGTTGTGGTTCAAAAAAATAAAGATGTATATAAATTTAAAGGACATGAAGTTAGTTTAGATTTATTAGATGAAATAATGAAAGACAAAAACATGTATATTCACAAATTAACATATGAGCTTTTTTATAAAGACGATACGGATAGATATATATATAAAGAGTATGAATTGAACACTAATGAGTGGTTATCTTTTTCAAAAAATAAATATAATATAGAAAATATAACAAAAATTTTACATATTATGTGTGCAATGAATATTGATTATGAACCGATTATACTAAATACATTTAAACCATCTAATAAAGATACTATGAGTAGTGATTTTTATAAACCACAGTTTACATATATAACTAAAGCTATGTTTAATAAATATCATGGATGGGATGATTGTTATTTTAAGTATGACATTAACAATATAGATAAAGATGTTTATGTTATAAAATTTGATTTATATGAATATTGTAATCATTCAAGTGCTAATGGAATTATTAAAATTTATCTTAAACGCATTAAATAACTATTTAAAAAATAAAATATATAGTATTAGTATATATATGTGTTCAGATAAACCAATACGAGGAAGACCAAAAATTTATACTAAAGAACAAATCAAACAACATAGAACTTTATATATGCTCTCAAAACCATGGCATTGTGATTCATGTAATAAAACATATAGTTTAGCATATAAAACTTTACATCTTAGAACTAGAAAACATTTCAGAAATTCAAAAAATTAAAAAATAATATAGTTTTTATAAAAAGTTTTAAATATAGATTTATTTCTATAATTAAAATTAGTGCGTTTAAAAAAAATAAAAATAAAATATATACTATATATATATGAATAGAGATTATTTAAATCGAAAGGTACTTAAAGACAAACCTATTTTATATAGTATGCAGAATATAAATAGAGATAAAACAAAACATAAAGTACTTAAAGACATGAGTATTTTATATAGTATGCCTAATATGAATAAAGATGAACTTCAAAAGTTGACTAAAGACGATTTAATTAATTTAATATTAAATCAAAAGCCGTGGGTTGAAGTTAATAATACTTCAATTTCCAAACCAGTACAAAAAAAAGTACTATCACAATCCAATATCAAAAAAATGACCGTATCTCAGTTAAAAGTTATTGCTAAAGAAAAAAAGATTAAAGGTTATTATAAATTTAGAAAAAACGAATTAATCAAAGTATTAACACCAGTCCCAAAACCAAGAAAAAGTGTTAAAGAAATAATTCAAGAGTATGAGAATAAAAATAAGAAACCAGTACCAACACCTAGAGTTAAAATAAGAGAAACAAACAATGCTATAAAAGGATACACTAAATCATATGAAATAAGCATTATTAACATTAAAATGCCATTAATACAAATGCAGAGCACAAGAAAGTATCTTACATATTAAATTAAAGAAATGTTAACAACAATGAAAGGATTAAAATTTATTGAAACGCTTAAGGTAACATTTGAAAAATTTAAAATAAAATATAACGGTAATGTTGATCATTCAACAAAAACAGCTTATTTCAACAGTCAAGCTTTAACAATTACAAATAATGAAAATATTACTGAATCACTACAAATTTCAAAACAAAATATATTAAATAAGATTGATAAATTCACTCAAGAAGGTTCTGGATGGGTTATTCTCTATAGATAATCATTATCTTAATGTTGTTAAATACAAGCCATTACAAGGATCTTCATACATTAATTTACCACAAGAACTTAAAAATAGTAAGAAAAGATTAATTAATATCAAAAATAGAGACAATGAATGTTTTAGATGGTGTCATATTAGACATATCAACCCACAAAATAAATACCCACAAAGGATTAAAAAATCTGATAAGGAATATATTAACAAGTTAGACTACTCTGGGATTGATTTTCCAGTGACTGTTAAACATTATAATAAAATCGAAAAGCAAAACAGAATTAACATTAACGTTTTCGGTTATGAAGATAAACAACCATATCCATTATTCATTTCAAAAGAAAAATTTGAAGACCATATGGAACTACTATTGATAACTGATAATGAAAACAAACATTATATTCTAATAAAAAATTTTAATGCATTTATGTATAATCATACAAAGCATAAGGAAAGGAAACACTTTTGTATGCGCTGCCTTCAATGTTTTAGTTCTGAAAAAATATTAAATAACCATATAGAAAACTGTATATTAATAAATGCTACACAAGCAGTAAAAATGCCTGATAAAAATAATAACATACTGAACTTCAACAACTATCATAAACAACAAGCTGTTCCGTTTGTTATATACGCTGATTTTGAAGCTATTACAGAAAAGATATCTGGTTGCCAACAAGATAATGGTAACTCATATACAGAAGCCTATCAAAAACATACTGACTGTGGTTATGGGTATAAAGTTGTTTGTTGCTATGATGATCAATTTACTAAACAAATTCAACTATATAGAGGTAAAAAGGCTGTTTATAGATTTATGGAAGCTATGTTAAAAGAAGTTAAATATTGTAAAAATATTATGAAAACCCACTTTAATAAAGCATTAAAAATGACCTCTTATGATGAAGAAGAATTTAAAAAAGCTGATGAATGTCATATCTGTAACAAAAAATATACTAACAAAGATATTCGAGTTCGAGACCATTGTCATATCACAGGTGTGTTTAGAGGGTCAGCTCATCAAGATTGTAATTTAAAACTTAGAATAGACTCTGATAAATTTAAAATCCCAGTAATATTTCACAATCTGCGTGGGTATGACAGCCATTTTATTTTGCAAGAAATAGGAGCTATTGTTAATAAGCATACATACAAAAACAAAAAAGGTGAAGAAACGCATATGAATATAAATGCTATACCTAATAATATGGAAAAGTATATGGCTTTTATGTTAGGAAACCATTTAACATTTCTTGATAGTTTTCAATTTATGAGCTCTAGTCTTGAAAAGCTTGTTTGTAATTTACCTAAAGATTCATTTAAATATACCTATAAGCAGTTTCAAGGTGAAAATTTAATTTAATGACTCAAAAGGTATATACCCATATGATTATATGGATAGCTTTGAAAAGTTTGATGAAAATTACCTTCAAAAAGACTTTTATAGTATTCTTACTGCTGATAATATATCAGATGAACAATACCATCATGCACAAAAGTGTGGGATACATTCAATCTGAAAAACATGGGTGAGTATCACGACCTATATCTGAAATCAGACGTTTTGTTATTAGCTGATGTATTTGAAAACTTTCGAAAACATGTCTTGAATATTATAAATTAGACCCATGCCACTATTTCACATCTCCTGGGTTGTCTTGGGATGCTATGTTAAAGATGACAGATATTAAATTAGAATTAATGACAGATATTGATATGTTTCAATTCATTGAAAAGGGTATGAGAGGAGGTGTTAGTTATATTGCTAATCGATATGGTAAAGCTAATAACAAATATCAATCATCTTATGATAATAATAAGCCATCGAAGTATTTAACGTATTTAGATGCTAACAATCTGTATGGATGGGCTATGTCACAAAACTTACCTACTGGTAATTTCAAATGGTTAACTGATAAACAGATTAACAACATAAACCTTGCTAAATATCAAGCAGATAGTAATAAAGGTTTAATTTTAGAAGTTGATTTAGAATACCCTGAAACACTACATGATTCACATAACGATTATCCTCTTTGTCCAGAAAAATTTAAGGTAACTAGCAACATGCTGTCAAAATATTGTAAGACAATTGCTTCTAATTACAATATATCAACAGGATTAGTAAGCAAATTAATTCCTACATTACAAAATAAATACAAATGCGTTTTACATTATAGAAATCTTCAACTATATTTAGATCTTGGGTTAAAGTTAAAAAAAGTACATAGAGTACTTGAATTTAATCAATCTCCATGGTTGAAAAAATACATAGACTTTAATACTCAAAAAAGAACTAATGCAAAAAATTCTTTTGAAAAAGACTTCTTCAAATTAATGAATAATTCGGTATTCGGTAAAACCATGGAAAACTTACGAAAACGAGTAGATGTTAGACTAGAAACTAATAAAAATAAATTATTAAAATTAGCTTCAAAACCTACTTATGTAAGTAGTAAAATCTTCAATGAGAACCTTGTGGCTGTGCATAAAATAAAAGAAACACTAACCCTTAATAGACTGGCATATGTGGGTATGTGCATCTTAGATTTAAGTAAAACGTTGATGTATGATTTTCATTACAATTATATCAAGAAGAAATATGGTGATAAAGCTAAATTTTTCAAGACACAGATAGTTTAACATATGAAATTGAAACTGAAGATGTCTATCAAATTTTGGGTGATAAAGATAAATTTGATGAAAGTGATTACCCAGAATACCATAAATATCATGATAAAACTAATAAAAAGTTATTGGTAAAATGAAAGATGAAGCTGCTGGAATAGTAGTTAAAGAATTTGTTGGTTTAAGAAGCAAGTGTTGTTATATTAAAGATAATAATAAAGGAGATAAAAAGCTAAAGGAATTAAAATATTTTGTAAAAACATATTTATAAAACAACACTTTTGAAAACAAACAAATGCACTACAATTTCACTTATGAAAATTTCCATCTTAGTTTAGAAATTAATAGTTCACTCTGCTGTTTTAGATACGCTTATGCTGCTGATCTTAACCGATGCTTTATTAACATTTATTTATAAAGATATAAAACATATAGATTCCATATTTTTAAACAACAGATTGTAACCTCGAGATTTTTACCCCCCTTTGAAAAATGACTATTTTTACACAGCTTTCTTTACATGACCTTTTGCTGAGGGGCGCCTTTTGAACCATGGTCTTATTTTGCGCTGTTATAAAGATACTTTTTACCTCTTTGAAACAATGACTATTTTTTACGCAGCTTTTTTACATGACTTTTTGCTGAGGGACGTCTTTTGAACCATGTCTTATTTTACGCTGTTATAAAGATAGTTTTTACCCACGGTTAAACTCCGTATAGTACATGGGGCGTATGAGATAAAAAAAAGTAAACTTTTTTTGATCCCCTACCCCCATGTACTATACTACTCTTTGTATATTACGCTCACTGCGCGTGCGTAGTTTGAGCACTGTCGGATTGTGTAGAGAGTCTCATATGGAGACGTTCACCGTGTTCGCGATATGCAAAGCTCACCTTTATAGGTTTGAGCACTGTGGTGACTCAACAATACAATCCATACAATGTGTAACTGTACGTTCTGTGTCCCAAGTGCAGGAGTCACCATTTTAAAATTGTAGCGAGAGACTTGCCGAGCGGAAATCGAATTCGTATGATAAAAATTAATGCCCAACATAAAGTTCTGATTAGAGCCATAGAAATAGACCAAAAACAAATTGTAAAATTAAATTTATTGTGACGTTTCGTCTTTACTCTTGAAGTTGGGAGCACTTGGGAATATCCCCCCTTACAGGCAACCAAGTTTCCCACCCTGCATCATCAAGCATTCTTGCTCACATTAACGCAACTGGACACACCCTCAACTTAGACGACTTTAAAATAATCTCCTCTTCCAACGATACTTATGAACTCTCCATTCATGAAAGCCTTCTAATCAATAAACACAAGCCTTCACTTAATGTGCAAGGAAACTCCATTCCACTTAACCTCTTTTAATTTCTCTTTATTTCACTTCCTAACTTCCTTATCATGTATCCATTCGACACCGCTTCCTTTAGTAGTAGTTTAACACCTTTTTGTAAATATAATATCTTGTCTTAACATCCAATTTATTATTTGTCTGAAGATGTCTTGAGTAAAGACGAAACGTCACAATAAATTTAATTTTACAATTTGTTTTTTTTTTGGTCTATTTCTATGGCTCTAATCAGAACATTATGTTGGGCATTAATTTCTATCACACGAAGTCACCATTTTACTATGGTGATAGCCGGGAGGGCACATTGTAATAATCTTTGTATATATATATATATCTTAATATTCCTGGATAAGAGAGCGCTCAATCTCCTATGTATTAGAGAAGCGTAAGATAAAATGAAATAAAATCGACAAGTTTTTGCGGTCGCTACTAGGAGTTTCACGCCGTTGGGCGATCTTCAGGCAACTGACAGATTATTTATTCTGTCAGATAATTTAAATGGCAAATTGCCTGAAACCCAACGTGATTTACAAAGCCGACGTGACAACAACGAAACCAAAACTTATATAGGTGTTACTGCACGCGCTTTTAAGACACGATATTGAAACCACATTAAATCAATTACGAACATTAAATACCGCAACGAGACATAACTTTCTAAATACGCGTGGACACTGAAAGAAAACAAACGAAACTACAACACATCAAACAATTTCCACCCTCGAACAAAAACCAAAAAACCTGCCGTCTTTGCCTTGAAGAAAGACTACTTATCCTGAAAGGACGTAAAAAGAACATTTTAAATAAACGTTCCGATATGTTTAGTGCATACCGTCATGTAATTTAACACCTTTTATTCGATGTATATAGTAACTAAAAGATGATGCTATCAAAATTACACTGAAACGCGGGAATCAAGTAAAGACGATGCTGAGAAAACTGAAGGCAGAAAAATGCATAAATGAAAAAACATACAACGAACTTTATCCCACTGCTATACGTATCGGCATACTATATGGACTCCCTAAAATTCATAAATCCTCCATCCTAAAATTCATAAATCTGCGATAAACCAATCTTATCTAGTATTGACCACTACTCCTACAAGATAGCCAAATTCTTTATTCCTTTCCTTACACCAATCTCCGCCAGCTCCCATGTTATCAAGGACTCTTTTTCTTTTGTCCAAGATCTTTTACACAGTTACATTAACGCCAATAACGTTGTTTGATTATATTCCCAGTTATGTCATAGAAGATGAAACAAGGAACATTAATGACGAGGCATATAATACAATAGATGAAAATCACGGCGAGTCCGAGTCCAATCTTTAAGCCCGAGACACACTGTCGCTGTCGCTTGGTCGTTACGGTGAAACGACAGAGCGACGAAGCGACACGAAAAATGATAACAGACACACTGTCGCTAGCACAACAGGCAAAGCGACTTGATTTTAAGCACGTACCAGTCCCCCTAGAGAGAATTTTAGCGGGAAATACGAATTTGGCGGGTCATTTCAATATGGCGTCGAACCAGAACTTACGAGATATATTAATAGCAATTGTTTTAAACGAGTTGGACGAGGAAGAAAACAGACAAAACCGACGGGTAGTTCGTAAGAGGCGCTGCTGTGTGAGAGATATCAACCACCGACAACGTGAACAAGGTGACTTTGGAAACTTGGTTCAAGAATTGAGGAATGACGAAGAACAATTCTTTATTTACTTCAGAAGGAATCAAATCACCTTTGATTTCCTTTTGAGCTTAGTTGGTCCTTCATTAAGAAGGCAAAATACTCATTTGCGGCAGTCAGTTTCACCAGGAGAAAGGCTAGCCATGGTTACAATACTTTATTTCAGAACAACATGCAAATACATCATTATTAAGAAAAAGGAAACCCAGAGGTTAGCCCTATATCAAGGGTCTCCTATTTGTGTAAAAAATCTTATAGAACTAGTTAATAAGAAATAAAAAATAATAAATATAAAAAATAAATAGTAAATAATAAATAAAAAAAAATGTCAAATAAGAAAAAGCTAAATATCAATTAACTGACGACTGAATAAATATTCATGTGTTTCTTCAATTTTTTTTAAACTCACGAACGTTAGGGCTGTCACAAAATTAAATAAATTAATAGGAAGATTATTCCAGGGTTTGATAATTCTGACAAAGAAAGAATTTTTGTAACAGTTCAGTCTTGCGAGTTTGAGTTTGTAGTTTATATGGGTGGTTAGATCTCGATTTAGTGTTTTTACAAAGTTCAAAATATTCGCTGAAATTCAATCCATTTAGATTGAATACAGTTTTATAACATTCCACTAAGGAAAGGAAATCTCTCCTTTGTACTAAAGAGTTCCATTTAAGAATTTTACACCTCTCCGTGTACGCCATCTCTTGTTTTCTTTGGCCTAAGGCAATTCGCGAGGCTCTTCTTTGTATCTTCTCAATTTCATCGATGTATTTCATGAGGTGTGGTGACCGCACCGGGCAGGCGTATTCCAAGATTGGACGAACCAAGGTTTTGTACAAGTTTGAGAAAATATCTCTGTTTTTACCGCCTACTGTGCGTTTAAGTAAGCCAAGAACCTTATTTGCTTTGTGAACTATTTGTTCAACATGTTTTGACCATTTTAGATCACTAGACATAATAACTCCAAGATCTTTGTAATTAGATACATTCCTCAACACTGTACTCGATATATTGTACCGCGTGGACTTTTTGTCTCTGTTATGTGTAATTCTCATGACTTCACATTTGGTAGAATTAAATTTCATCTGCCAACGATCCGCCCATAGGTCGAGTGATGTCAGATCTATCTGTAAAGCAATAGAATCATCGATATTATTTATCTGTCGGTAGATTTTGGTATCGTCAGCAAATAATTTGGCAGTAGACGTGATGATGCCAGGTATTTCGTTCACATAAATAAGGATCATAACCGGTCCCAGTACTGAGCCTTGAGGGAGACCAGATGTAACTGGTTACCAATCCGAGTACGATCCACGTACCGTAACTCTTTGTTTTCGATTGGTTAAGAAGTTCTTGAACCACAGGTGCAGCTGCCCATCTATCCCGTACCTATTGAGTTTTAAAAGTAGTCGCTCATGAGGGACACTGTCGAACGCTTTTGACAGGTTCAGAAATATTACATCAGACACTTTAGACGAATTTCTTCTTAAACACAAGTCATTATAACAGCTTAAAAGTTGTGACACTGTCGATCGGCCCTCCAGGTATCCAAGTTGGCTTGTGTTTAGTAGTTGGTGTTCCGTCCAAAATGATACAACTCTCGATTTCACAATCTTCTCCGCCGTTTTACTAATGATAGATGTTAGCGAGACATGGCGATAGTTTTCCTTTCTATATTTTGGTCTCTTTTTATAAATTGGTATAACGTGAGCAATTTTCCAGTCGTTGGGTAGTGAGCCGGATTGGAACAACATGTTAAATAAGTTACAAAGTGACGTAGATAGTTCCAGTGCACATTCTTTTAGGATACGAGGCGATAATTTATCAGGACCTGGGGATTTGTGTATGTTTAGGTTTTTCAGATGTTTTTCCACTTCGCTAGGTGTACAAAATACATTGCATAACTTATCATTGAGAACATGATCAAATTCCGGAAGAGACTTTTGTTCTTGTGTAAATACTGATGCAAAATATGCGTTCATATGTTATGCAATCTCCTGATCTCCAGTGCTTTCTACACTTCCGTCTTTTAGGAACAATAGGTCGTTAGTTCCTTTTCTTATTGAACGCATGTAGTTCCAAAAAGGCTTGGAATTATTCTCCACCTGCAATTTATCTGCGATTGCCTCAAGATGTCTCCATTTGGCTGAGTTGCATTTCTTTTTCAAAGAATTGTTCAAAGTACGATAAGCGGCCCAGTGATTTTCATTGTTGGTTTTTTTGCTTTTTTATAAAGGTGTTTCTTTTTCTTGCACAATTTAATTAAATCCTTCGTAATCAATGGAGCAATGTTTTTTCTTTTATGCCGGTACTTGGGAATACTTTCGTTTACCGCTGCAAAATAAAGGTCTTTCCATGTTTCCCAGTTATCATTTATGCCTTGTTGTTCTATTGTAAAGTACCAGGGTGAATAACTGAACAAAGATCTTAGATGATTCCAGTTTGCCTTGTTGAATGCATAATTTTCTTTAGTTGAGATCCGTTGTTGGTAGGAGCGAGTGTTTACGATGAATGTTATTGCATTATGATCGGAGAATGGTTCACCGACTTCCAAGTTATTTATCAGGTCGATGTTAGTCTTTAGTACTAAGTCTAATATGTTGTTCCCACGAGTAGGCTCGTCAACCATTTGATACAAGAAATGGTCTTGAACTATTTCAGAGAAGAGGTAGTGATGCTCAGATGATTTAGTAGGATGGTTCGTAGACCAATCAAATTCGCTTAGGTTAAA